AAGCAATTTGAGACGCTTCATCATATGGGTGCATTTCGCGATGTGTAAGGAAATTGTAACCAGTCACATTCTCAGACACCCATCCAGACCATACTGAGGCTTTCGAAGGCCCTTACCAGGTAAATTACGTCTCACTGCATTCAACGGCAACTGAGCGGGATCTAGGACTCTGGATCTCATCCCTGAGAACGCAGATGAACACCGTGCGAGCGTGTTCTGCTGCAAGGAGCATGCTTGGTGCGATCCGTTGGTCGTTTGACGGGTTGTCATTTAGGGCCTTCAGGAAGCTTTTCGCCTCCCACGTTCGACCCCGGTTCAAATATGGTGGACCTGCTGTATACCCCTGTACGCTTTCCGAAGTGGCCAACTTCAGCACTACGCCACTCGACTAGTGGGAATTCGTGGGTTTAGCTATGAAGGTCGACTTCATGCACTGAGAATTTTCCCATTTAGCTACAGGAGACTCCACGGGGATTTGATACGTCTGTGGAAGATTCTTCGTGGTGATCTGGGACCGAAGATACGTGCTGTTTCCACTACGGTACTGCATCCCGAGAAGTTAATTTCGATATTACGATCCCTCTACAATAATAGCCGAAGCCGAGTCCGAGCTTACGGCACTTTTTCACCGGAGTTCACTACAGAAAGTGGTGTTCGACAGGGTTGCTTTCTCGCAGTTTCCATTTAACTTTGTTACCGATTTAATTATTGAAACAGCTCTATCCTCGTGCGAGGATTTTTCATTACACACACTTATTTGATGAACAACAGACGGATCGAACCCCATAGTCACTAGAACCTGCTGTTCTCTGATGGAATTCGGTATCCTAAGCCCCGGGACTTGGAGTGATGAACCAAATAAGGTCCCTCTAGGATAGCGGTTACTTCCTGGTGGACGACTGTCTGATCTAGAGTATGCAGACGACATTATGCTGCAAAGTGAAGATCCAGGTAAGTTGCCAGCTCTTCCGCATAGTTTGAGTGCTAATGCAGCCATGTTCAGTATGCGTTTTGCACCTTCGAAGTGTAAAATGTTGCTACAATATTGGGTTGGTCCAGCCCCTTACACTGACTGGGGAAGTAATAGAGCAAGTGGATACGTTTTGTTATTTGAGCAGCTACATCTTACCCGGTGAACGCATCACAGATGAAGTGTCAGCTCGCATACGAAAGGCTCGGTTGGCATTTGTCAACTTGAGACATTTGTGACACCGTCGCGATATCCGGCTGTCTGTGTGAAGGGTCTAGTATATGCTGCAGCGGTTCGGCCAGTGCTGCCTTACAATGCAGTGACTTGGCCACTAAGGGAACAGGATAAAAATGTGTATGCTGCAGCAGTTCGGCCATTCCTGCTCTACGGTGCAGAGACTTGGCCACTAAGGGAACAGGATAAAAATAGATGTCGGTGTTCGAACACCGCTGTCTACGTAGTATTGCACGTGTCTGGTGGGGTAACCGGACGAGCAATCTGAGGTTAGGCGTAGTTTCAGGTAATCGCGGTCGTCCACTAAAGCAAATAGTCGACCTTCATCGATGACGTTGGTTGGGACATGTGCTACGCATGTCACGAGATAGGTTGCCGCGGCGAGCGATGTTTGCCAAGGCAGGTAGCGATTGGAAAAAGATCAAGGGAGGTCCAACTACAACCTGGCATGAGTGTATGAAAATCCTAACCAGGAGTCTGGGTCACATAGGTCCAGTTAGGCTCCCTGGCTGGGGACTCCGAGATCATGGTTACCGATGATTGGAAACACCGAGTGATATAGCTGGGTGTCGCATTCAGTAGCACGCATGCATCTACTCATTATTCTTGTAACTTCAGTCTATATCAATTCACTATCTTTCGTTTG